GGCGGGTGCTGCGGGCGCTGCGGCCGCCATCACGAAGGGTGCAGCCTTCTCTGGTACTTGTTCGACTTGTGGCACAGGGGGCTTATTCTTCTGCTTGGTTTGCTTGTACCCTTGAGGTTGGCTCTTCGTCTCCACTGGGCTGTGACTCTGTTCCGCAGTCTTGTTGCTTGTTGCAACTTGTTGCTTTAAGTTGGTAATTTTAGGCACTATTACGGGACTGTCCGATATTGCAGAAACAACTGGTGTAACATTAGCAACAACATCGGAAACTAAATTTAGATTTTCATTATAATTTAATATATCAGACTTTACTAAATTACTATTAATAGGATTTATTACGTTTGTTTGTGTTTGCATGGACAGTGATAACGGCGGTGTGGGCATGTCGATCGTCTTGGGGACGAGCGGTGGCTTCATCGCGATGTCGTTCACGGGCTGTTGGTTCGCTATCGATTCGTTCACCAGTCTCGAAAATTCTTCCGCGATGGTGTGCGTCGGCGGCGCCTCCTGTTTACCAATTAACTTCACATTTAACAAAATATATTAACAACTTCAAGAAAAAAACTCTGTACAATCCCGAACTACGGAAAATAATGACATTTAACAACTCGCTATGGTAAAAGTCCTAAATATTTTTATAATGTTCCTTTATTCTAGCATTTCTCACCACTTGCTTGTTCAAAGCTTTATTTCAAGCAAACAACAAATGGAGATAAATAGAAGTGTAACAAGAATAGCTTATTACTGTTATTACAAGTTACTGAGAAATAATAATTCGTTATAGAATTTTTTTTAATTACTAATATTAAGGATTGAAAAGATTCGGAATATCATTAATAATTACTTTGTTGATTACAAATAATGAACAGTTCATATAAATTTATTACTAATTGAATAACATTTAATGAGCTAGTAATTAATCGTTTATTAATTACTATCTATCCTTTAATATGTTATGACATACAATTTCACTAATATTATTGACATATCTTACTTATACATATCATAAATGCGTAAGTTTGGATGGATGGATAGATATTTGTTACATCATTTACTTATTACTACATATATGGTATATTTTAATCTTATTTGTTACTTTATAGATTTCTAGCTGTTGCTCGTGACTCCATTCATCACGGATTTAATATAACATATGTGCAAATTTCAGCGAGATTCGTTTAGCCATTTTAGAGATATCTTCTCAAACTTTCATCTGAACTGTCGCATTTATTATTATTAGTAAGATTTTTAGCAATAATTGAACTATAATCCATTAACAAAGTTATTTTTAATGGTTATTTAGTCTGTGTTTTTTGTTTATGGTATCGTTATAGTCTGTGCCCCCTACTGTCATTTTCCCACGGGAAACAAAATGTACGCGCCGGAGTTTCATAATCTTTTATTAACTGATGTTTAGTGGTAATTGTGTGAGATAATTTACTTTAAGTGTTTGTACTTAAATAGTGAGATGAAAATACGATATTAAATAAGTAAGTACAAGATATATTGGTCACAAGTAAATTCATTGTTGTATGTATGAGTCATAATAATGTTTATGTATATTTCACATCTCTAGATTATTTATCTAAGTCTACAAGCTTGCTCTCTGAAGCTGTGATACAAGACAAGAAAGAATTGAGATAAAGAACAGACAATATGAAGTCAAATAAATTTAAAACGGCGATGGATGACATTGAACATGAAAAAATTAGCATCGCAACGCAATACTTCTCGGCCATGGGATATATGTATGTATTTATTTTTATTTTGTTAATTTATAATGAAATTTTATTGTATAGTAACTAGTTATACACACGGAATGGTTGGAAATTTTTAGTTTAAAAACTGGATCAATTTTTTCGGTACCTACTTCGATTTTTAAGGCAAGCGGCCACTTGAATTCACTAATATAGTAAGTGACTTCCCCATAGTTATCTGCTTTTGCTAATGCGTATTTTTAATCGCCAGAGGAGGTACCAGACAGAAAGAAGACATATCCTTTTTACGCATCTCCTCCTCTGTCACTTCACACACCCTTCCAGTTATTTAAAAACAGGTTGGGAAGAGGACAACAATAGGCTACTGGCATGTACTTATCAAACGAAGTTTCCATGCGGTGTTCATCTTATATGCGGTATTATACCGACGTATTCAGGCAAATCTTATAATAGTCATAAATGTTTTACAAACGTTAATATTATAAGTTGCCTTTGATTTTTTAGATCGTATAGTTTTTAAGAATAAAAAATAAATAATAAAACCTATGTAGCTTTGGTATAAAATTATTGATATTTGAAACATATAAATTAATCGACTTTATTATTGGTCACATTTTATTTTTTTATATTTTATGTCTCTCTTCATGTTAATTCAAGTAAATAGTCCTTTTGAACTAGTTTCCACTGTCTAAAAACTTGTGATAAAAATTTATTTTTATCTTCTTTAAAATAATGTTGGATAATTATTTATTTACAGGTCTCTCGACAATGGAAACACTAAGTAAACATAGATACATACCGGCTGAGGCGTTTGTCTCTCGTTCATTTCGCCCGAAACGAAATAATTATCGTTGTTGTATAATTCTGACAGCACTTCTTGTTCTGAAAGAAAAAAACATGATTTAATTTTAATTATCTGCCATACTGACATGGCACAGATTAATTAGTTTCAGTTAATCTGGTTGTAACCACCGACAAACTTATCTGATCCGGTAGGAATAACCTTTGGTTTTTGGTTCTGGTTACATCAAAATCTCCGTATCGTCATCCCTGTCCGTATATTTGAAAAATCAACAGAGATAATATTTTAAACAGAGATTTTGGACTCAGAAACCCACGGTAAATGACGCTGAATGACAAAAGCTTATTAGCGTCTCCTCTTTCGATGTCATAAACCACGTACACAAGTCATAAAGTGAGTTTTAAACAACGGTATAGTTCCACTAAAGATGTCATTTTGACAGCGTCATTCTGACCAATAAGGGAGCCCACAACTGCACGTGATAATGTTGCCATTTTTATATTTTGATAAATTGAGAAAAATACCACGTGTCGCGATTTAACGTGTAGTTTTAATTATTAATATCAGGACCGGCCATGGATACGGTCAATAATGTGACTAATCGTTCATGTACTTTTCATGTTGAACATATTTATATCAATATGTCAATTTATCCTGTGTTTTCTTGTAAAATCCTAAAGCTGTACTAATTTGTGTGTAAATAGTAAGCAATCACTAATAGTCAGTTGATATATAAATTGTTTTTGTATTTAACTTTGGCCGATTTCGCTAGAAATTTTTTGTTTACTGGTAACCCTAAAAACTTATAAACCTGTCAATGTCAAAAAACTGCCATAAGATCTTTGTTAGACTATATTTGACCCGATGGGCATGAGTCAAAATAATAGATAGCTTACTAGCGCGCTCATGTCTGAATCGAATTGTCAATATCCTATTTGTTGTCATGTTTTTCTTTTATAACATTATTTATGCCTATGTTGTTACGGTGAAGGGAAACATCGTGATGCTGCACATATCTGAGAAGAAATTCAAAGATATGTGTACAGTCAACCGACACTGAGCAAGCGCTGACTATTGCCTAGTCACTAATTTAGGGTAGGCTCCGAGCCGCTCAAGCTATAGTAAGTTGATGATGAATTCCTATTTAGATTTTAGATATTTTCTGACAGCAGTAACCTCAATCTGGGCTATATATGTTTGTCGCTCTATAAATAACAAATAAAAAGTGAAAGCAACTTACGTGTGACAGGATCGATTATAGGCACTCTGTGGCTGCGCTTTGTAGGGAGTGTAGGTCGAACACCTGTGTATGAAATAAAATCATTTAATCAACATGCAAATACAATCGAAAATAAAAGGCAACGACATGTCACGGAATACATATAAAAGTTATTTCTTGTTACCAACAAATTAATCCAAAAAAAAACTATGTTACGACATTGTCATTACTTATAGTTGAATTTACTGATGGATGGATATATCTCGCTGAAATTTGACATAGAACATAGTCTGCAAGAACACATAGATTACCTATTAAGTTTTATTTTTAATACCGTGCGTACGGAGTAGTGTGCGACATCTAATTTAGTTAATATAAATTGTTATGTACCGGGCATTGCGGTGTGTAGATGGGGCGGTGGGGGTGGGTGGGGGAGCGGTGCTGGCGCTGCCGCTGCGGTAGGCTGCGGGCCCACCAGCGGGGCGCCTGCACGCGCGTTGTTCGTCGTCACCCCACTTCCGCCCATAGGCTGGTTGTTCGGGTAGTAATCTGAAAAATATACTTAGTATTATACCATTATACAAAGCTAAAAGTCTATTGAAATTTGTGTCATTTTTAGGGTTCCGTACCTCATAGGAAAAAAACGGAACCCTAATAGGATCACTTTGTTGTCCATCCGTCTGCCTGTCAAGACTCTTTTTAATAATTAATTGTAATTATTATTAATAATAAACAGGTAAAATTATGGTAGGCTAGAGTAAACACAAGATGACTTGCAGACGCTTTGTCCGTCTTAAATAAAGAGTAAATTCTTTTCTTTAAGACTTTGAGTCCTTTTACTTTGAAAACATAATCAAAGGCAATCGCCACGAGTTACAATAAATGATAGATAGATATTTAAATGAAAACGAATAATTTACTTTAAAGAATTTTGAATAAATATTAAAATTAGCAAATGATATAAAAATATATCACCTGTCATATACTCACATGGTGGCGTGTGACCAGTGGGCGTGCCGTAGCCCAAGTACGGCGATACGTACTGGTAGAATCTGAAAATAAAATACATTATATATTTCTTATACATAATAAATACAATAAATGATAATATATGCACATTTTTTACGGCTCAGGAAACAATGTAGTCCCAAAAAAATTGTCAAGTAAGATATCTAAATCGAGATTACCTTCTGCCAAAAAATATATTCGAGCACATCATTCACTAGGGGTCATCCATTAATCACGTATTTTTTTAACCAAATTTTTGATATGTGACGAGGTTACTAACCCCTATCTTCGTCCAGGTTTTTTCGTCCAGAGTAAAGTGAAACTTTTCGATATATATCAACTAACTTTTGCGCCCGACTTCGTTTAAATATAGCCTACATCACGTAGGGATAGTGTAACTTCCCAACAGTGAAAGTATTGTTCAAATAAGTTCAATAGTTTCGGAGCCTATTCAATGCAAAGAGCCAAATCTTTATATCATTATAGTAGATAGGTGCTTAGCCCCCGAGCCACTGAAGCCCCCGAACATGGGTATCAAATAAAAGGGCCTGGCGAATAGAATATAGACTGATAAATCCAATATGGGCGTTATAGCAAAATGGCAGATAATTTTATACAATCACCCCAACACGGTTATCAAATAATAGGATTTGAATAATAGAAAAACGTGGTAAATACCAATTCATAAAGTTCAACTTAAAAATGAATAAAGGACGAATTGACTTAAAAAAATAATATTATTACTTGTTATTGTTAACAATAACAAAAGTCTACCCCAAGAATTGTTTGTGTAATGTAACCGGAGAATACAATATCGCGCGTGCAGTCAATGAACTTGACAGATTAGCGAATACGTTCGTGAACTCAAAAATGCGAATACAGCGAGAAACGCAACTTTGAATTGTATTGACAATTCATTAATTGACTGTAATGAAGTATTATTATTGCTATAATTATATTACAAGTTTGGTGCATTTTTCTCCTTAACTTTTTGTCCATCTTTTGGTTATACAATCTTATATATAAAATTGTCGTGTCACAATTTTCGTTCCCATACTTCTCCGAAACGGCTTGACTGATTCTCATGAAATTTTGTGAGCATATTGATTAGGTCTGATAATCAGCCAACATTTATTTTTAATTCCGCGCGGACGGAGTCGCGGACGACAGCTAGTAACTTATAAAAACTTTTGTGTCAATAAAATGTTACAACAATAGAGAATATATTTGGTTTAGATTGAAAGTCCATATCAAGTTAAATTAAGTAAATAATAAGGGCGGTCATATTGATACTTATATTTTTAAGTTATTTTGCGAAAATTGTGTGATAAAATTAATTGATATTGTAAAATAAGCGTATATTGTAGATTGTTTATGGTTTAGGGTTTTTATTAGAATCAAATCAAATTAAATTACCCTGAAGAGGACGATCTTGGCTGCTGGTAGCCTTGTGGCAGTCCCATGTGTGGCTGGAAGACCAGCGTGGGATGATGGTAAACGACAGGCGCCGCTGTATTGTTACCCGCACCGCCCATGTAAGGCTGTTGTTGTCTGGAGAACAAAGACATTGAAATAAATCAATTCAGGTCATAGGTAACCAATTAGCATGCGGTCGTGTCAAAATTAACTTATTACCAAAAACTTTTATTAAGCCATATAAACCATTGTATATTATTTTGAAAGGCACAAATTTATCAAAACCCGACCATTTGTTGCACACAAGCAAGAAATAAAATGCTGGATTAAGCATCAAACGAATCGATTTCCAAGATTGTCTACTGACTCTAAGTAGTGAATTGCGTACTAGTTGAAGAGCTAATAAAGTGTAATAAAACGTACCTTGGATGTGTGTTGGGTCGTGCTCCATGTTGCGCCCTGTACGAGAAGTTTGAATACTGCGGTCTCGATTGCGGACTCTGACTTTGTTGTGGCACGTAGTTGTGTCCTCCCTGTAACGTACAAAGTAAAACATTGTTTCACATATATCTGTTTTAAAATTTAAATTGCTTGCATTGTTTTATATTCTAATCGAAGTAATAGAGATTAAATTGAATAATACTTTCTAGATATGTCCAAGTACCCGAGTACATGTCTTTGCGGTCGCATAACTTCACTTTTAGTTAAAAAGCAATATTGAAAAAAAAAACATTTTCGAGAGCCAAGCTACGTACGCTACAGCATTTAGTAATGGCAAATTAAATAATAATACGTTTAGTAAAAAGAAATCCATTATTTTGTATGCTTTATTAATTTATCTCGCGTTGCATATTTGCGATTATAAGATAACTTTAGAGATAAGGATGCATATTTTAAATGTTTTTTGTAGTAAATCTAAATAATTTTGTTTGTATACGCGACAAAGAATTTAATAATAAACAAATAAATAAATAAAAATCATTTAGTAAATGAAGAAACTAGGTTAGCCTCCTACAAGCATTTCATAGGGACGGAGAAAGGACATGTGACAATAACTTTAAATGGGAATGAGTGGGAATGGGTACATCAGTAGAGATAGGCATAGGGGGAGATGGACTTATTGCGTGAAAGATGACATGATGATTCAGAGTCCACTGAAATATCGAATGATAGTTGGATAGAAAACCTAGTGCAGTGACCGACTGGTACAATGGTACCGTGAGATAAGGACAGGTGAGATGATGCAATTTAAAAACGCAAAGCAGACAATTAAAAATAATACGGTGTGTTCACATTGTAACAGTCAATCAGTTTTGTTCTCAACTTCCAAAGATTTGTTTTAAGAATGCATCACACTCTGGAAGGTAAAATATGGAAAATATTCGATGTAAAAATGTAAATTATCAAGTCCGACGAGCACCATTATTGTTTAGAACCAATAAAGAGGAACTTAAAAAAGGTCAACTTGTGTTGTATTCATTCAAATTTACAAAAAATAAACCTCTCACAGATGAAATTTAAAATATGCACATTTATGGATTTCTTTTTACTAAACCTAAACAAAATACTTTGTTCGAATTTATTCTGGTGAATCAATAAGGTTTTTAGTGTCCTTTTTTTGGGCTGTTACTATACCGTAGTAGAAATATAAGCAAATCAGATAACCAAAGGAAAACTTCGCATAAAAAGCTAAAAAAACTCGCATAGCTATTCGCAGTGTCTATTAAGATTAATTTTGTCATAGAAATCATGAACATAAAACTTACATGCGGTCTAAGCCTACTCTTTTTTTCAAAATTAAATAATTACTTTGTAAGCAAATATCCTATAACATGTCATTTACAGTTTAATAATTTCATCGGAAATGTTGTACTCTGTGTAAATAGTATATATCTGGTAACAACTTGGTTTCAGCCTTTGATGATTTAGAGACAGGACTAGTCAATTCGCGCACCCTCCCCTATCAAACATAAAATGACAAAATGTTCTAAACTTGCTTCCTTGTGTTCATATTATCCTTGTATTGTATTTAGGACATCGAATTATGCGTAGTATGCGTTATAAAAAAGGCTCACCGCCCTCGCCCCTCCCCAAAGACTAGAATTTATTTAATGGCGCAGTAAAGAGTTTTTACATTATTATAATCAAAGGTTTCAAGCCAAATATTTTGGAAATGAAAATTTAGATTTTTTACATATTTAGGCTTTGATTTGGAAGTAGTTTTGAACTAGACTAAGCACTCGCAGCCGCCTGACACGATCGTATTAGATCTGAATGACGTATTCAGCGTTTGCGTTTGATACATATGCCAAGTTACTAGATATTGATTTTGTGTCGAGTGTGGCACGAGACAAGGCCGCCTCTTTGTTGAGGGATTTATAGGCTCGAGTAAAATTGACGCGATATATTTCCAATAGATGATATTCAGGTGTGAAAGTAAAAACGCTTCCATGTGACCAAAATTATAATTATTATACAATTATGCATGTTTTAATGGACCTTTTTTATAATGAACTAAGAATTAAAAAAAAAAATTTTTTAGTAAATCCATTTCTTTGTCGTAATATATTCCAATGAAATGTCGCAATAAAAAGTTTAGAGAATTCTCACTAAAATAATAACGAAAGAATCAAAGTTGAATTACATTCTAAAATTTGAACAAGAAACAATCTAGAATATATGAAACGTGTGGAACATTGACGATCAAAGAACTAGTGACGCTTCAGAAGTCTAGCGCGAATTCGTACAAGATAAACTGCGTATAATGTATAGATATTAGTTTACGGAATATACATAGTTGTCATTTGTTTCGTAAATAGTTTGCTAAGCTTCTTCTCAGCATGGAGCAAATGATGACGTATCTATCAGAAATTGAGCATTAAAAAAGCTCCTGAAGTAATATCGAACACAGTTTATGCTAGGAAAAAGTGTTCCTAGAAACGGACTGGCGCGGGAAGTGTTTACACTAATGTCTATACACCCGAGTAGGTGTATGTTAAAGTATACTCACCAGGGTAGGCTTTGACATGTCCAGTTGTTGTGCAGCGGGCGCAGGGGGCGCGGGGGGCGCTGATGGCTGCGGGGTCGGCTGCGGGCGCAGGTTCGGCTGGGGCCCTAAGTTCGGCTGAGCCCCCGGCAAGAAGCCGGAAGCCGTCGACCCTGCCGGATGGTAGCACTCCGACCCTGCAACAAATAGCACAATAAGACACTAGCTCGCACTTCCCGCTTGCACAAACCTTCCGAAGTCGCTACTCACTATGTGGTGTTGAAGCTCGTGGATAACTGTTTGGCGCTAAGGAAAATAAAAACGTATTACTTTAGTAGAGGCTAGACAAATTAGGGGTGGTGGTTTGTGGGCCGTGGGTGCCGCGTGTGCCGCTGCACTTACTCGACTGCGGCAGCAACCTATAGGGGGCGCCGGAGGAGGCGGCGGCGGAGGGCGCACAGCCCGGGTACCGCGGCGGCTCGTGCTTGATAGGCCCCGGCATGTACTGCACCTGCATGCGCGCAGACCCGATGCCTCCGCCGTTCTGCATCCCATTGCCACCGACCTCCGGCTGACCTCCGTGCGATACGAACCCATTACCTCTTAGCGCAACCATTTTAATTTCATGATATAGATCCTTCAAAAATTCAACTAGCCAAATGTTAAACCATTCCCAAAACAGTGGCGATGTGATCATCGACATAGGGCAGCGAGGACTATTACCGACCCTAAAAATCCTATCCGCGGCTTCCTTCACCGCGCTCACCGCATAACACTATAACCTAAGCCAAATTTAATTTGTACGAATTAGTTTAGGCTCCGCAATAAAAAATAAACTTTTAAATGTACATGCGTTTGTGCAACGATTAAGCGTATCGCATATTGTTCGCGTGGAAGTGTGCAGTCCGCATTCACGATTTATATAGTAATTTAATGCAGCATTGAGAAAATCGATAAGGAGACTGCTCGGTACGGCGGCGGCACTCGGGCCGCAAGGCGACCGGTCGCCAGCGTCGCGAAAACCACGCGGACACGGCTGCTTTGCTCTTCAACACCGCCACGCACCGCCTCTACAATTATATGGTCTTTAAAATTATTGAAAATGTAAGAAAATACAATTTTATTGATATTAAATTCGGGACAACCGCCAAGCCGTCCGTCGCTTAGCGTACTCCGTCTCCCTTTTGGAATAATCTAAGTAGAGCCACGACGGATTTTGCGAGGGGAAAAGAGATGAAAGTACATTGTGCTTTAGCTTTACGAATTTGGGGCGTTCCCGCGTCTAAAGCTACCCCCTCGTAGCGACAACCATATACTGAGCGGAAAAGTTAAGCCACATCCATCGCCGCTCCAGTTTGTTGGAGGTGGGTGTTGTTGCGAATCTTAGAGGCAATGAACGCTAGAAAAGTGATTCCGTTGTTTTGTGCGGGTTATCTGACATTGAAGGCGACGCGACGGCGACGTGGCGTATAATAATCTATATATTTTTTAGGGTTCCGTGGTGTTGCTAGCTAGTCGGTAGGCAAGCGAAGCGAGGCGAGGCAAGTCGATTCGCAGCGCCCCCACGTGTATCGATACATCGGGCTCGATGTCGACGACTCGGCGGGCAATTGGCATAGCACGTCGCTCCCGTTCACGTCAACCGGAACTTACGAGTATCGCGCTCCTATACGAATAAGCAGTGCCGCTTGAGAAAGTTGCACGAGTCGGAATAATTAAATACGAATTAATTCGAGAAATATTTCGCAAAACATGACGCTTTGCTGGTTGGCGCGATCACCATAAAAACACATCACCGCTATAAGAACCGTAAACATTTCACGGAACCTTAGTGCACTGCTAATACCAATAAACGCATTCACTTGTGTTCATTTATTGAATACACAGCATTTCAATGAATAAAAATATATTTTTCATTGTATTTTAACATGTTTATTAGGGGAAATAATACAATGCCTACTAAAATATTTATTAATGAGAACAACACAAGATGTCAAAAGCGTACTTTTGCTTTACAAAATATACTATCAGTTTATTTATCGTGTGGTCAGATAACATCAAATAATTAAATAGTAGTTGTAATTTAATCGATTTTTACATTTTTATATGAGTAAATAGATGTGTATGTTTTATAAAGGCATTGTATAATATGCTCATGAGGTCGAGAACAATCGGCAATATTGTTTGTTATGTTGTAAAGGTATGTATGTCAGATCAGCAATTCGTCGACGTTCGTATGATTGAAATAAATGATATTTTTATAGCAACTTGCGTTACTGATAAAATCTCTGCTTGGAAACTGCGAACAATTTTGGTTTCGATCTATAACTTGTTCAAATCTAATTTGTAACATACTACATTCTATATTACGATTATCATTCATATTTTCCACTCCGTCTATTAAAATTAGAATCGATGGAAAAGCGGATAATTATTTTCGAATCGATTCCGTTTTAGCAAAACGGCGAATCATTTTAATTGACATTTTTTATAAAGAATTCTAAAATTATAAAAGACATGAAAATTATCAATATTCAATATATTAAAATTAGAATCGATTTTTGGAGTTGTTATCAGGGTTATTTATATCGACAGATTTCTTTGGGTTTGATTGAAGTAATAACACGCATCAGTCTTATCTATTAATAGATGTAGTGATAGCAAGTGAGAACATGTTCATATATGAGCAGGCGCACCTCATTCTATGGTTAGCATTGCCAAGCGTCCGGATAAAGCCGGACCAGTGTCCGGCCAAAATAAACCGTGTCCGAGTTATCGGGCTTTACATTTACAAACGAGTGGGGTGTCCAGCCATCCTATCCAAATGTCCGGCCAAACTGTCTGATTTGTCCGGCTATTAGCTTTGGCGACCTGGCAACCCTATCTATGGACATAGTGTGAGTGAGCGTTACTAAACGCTTACAAATGCGTACTCTTTAATAAATGTTAGTAGACTTATGAATCAAAAAATATGTTATCTTGTGTAATATATTTCTATCCAAATCATTAAATACTTACCGTAACAAAAATAGGTAGTTCTAATTATATAGGGATTTTATTCACAATACTTACCCTTCGTCATCCCTTCAACGATGCGAATAGACCTCGCCGCGGGATCGCGTTGAGACGACGCATATTTACAAATATATATATATACAATTATATTTTCATATAGGGTAGTAAATATCAAATGCGCATCTAGGATGAAAACATCTAATCAGTGTATTTATTATTCTAAAATACATTTGGGAACAACTACAAAAGAATCTAATTAAAGGGTTTCTATGGTCCATTAGCTACATATGTACATAACATATTCCATGTGGTTTCGAGACACGGGGATACTTATGATACACATAAAAATAATTTGCAAAGGGTAAATGTTCATTGTATGAACTGCCTTCTAACAAATTTCCATCCATCTAAACATTATCATTTATAGTATTAGTAAGATTAATAGAGATTTAAGCAACAATTTATTACACATAGAAAGATGAATGTGTTTTAGATATTCGTAAGTAGAATGTACCACGATCGTTACTGTCGAATAATTATTCAGAGTCACATTGATTATTAATTAAACACCCACGAACGTATTCGAAAAACATTACGTAACCTTTCATAATACTATTTTTAGATATTTACCTCCGGGGTTGCTCTGATTTCTAAGAATTAATTTTGCTACGGGGAAAGCGCCTTTCCTCGTGGAGATTGCGCAAACATACCCTTACATAGATGTAACTTGACATATAATTAGAATACGGAAATAACAAAGTAATGATTTTTTGTCCTCAAATATTTATTTAGGTCAGAACGTTTCGTTCAATAGAACCAATCCTCGACATACACGTTGATAATATATTTATTCACATCTATCTAAATATTCTCTGATCAGGTACTACATGGCCTATTTAAACGTTCAGTTAATTAAATAGAAAATTAATTAAATCTCAAATCTATTGAGAAAATGGCGATGTATTCAGCATCTTATATTATAAAGGTATATAAAATTGTATTGGTTGGAACCGCCGTAGATATCTTATATTTTAAAAACCTATGTTCCGGAACTTGCCCTCAACAAATTTATTGTATACGTACAAGACAATCATTCCGTACCTAAGTTATCCCCAAATACATGAGGTGAAGATGAGTTTCACTCGTCTGTGTATATCCGCACGAAATTAAAAAACACTTCAAAGATCTAGAGGTTAATATTTTGTTTTTTAAAATTTTACAATTTCCTACAAATCACATTATATTTTTAACTACCTCAATGTACTGGCGCGTTGAGTATATTTGGTGGAAACAAACGTTTTTTTTTGAATTTTTCAAAAAAAGACTTGGGCATCTGTTTCTATCAAAAACGGCAGCTACCCTGATTTTCAATGTATAAGTGCTCTTAGGACATAGACGAATATTTAAGGCTTTTAACTGATTGAAGAAGTCCCATGGCACGAAAATATAAAAGAAAAGCCTGCGGGTTTCCGTATGTTTCTGGATTACTGAAAGCCTAGTCAGCTTCCGATTAAATTGACAAAACATGGGGATAAACGAAATATCCCGACAGTTGTAATTTCATCAAGGACATATGTTTGAAAAATTAAAGATTTTTATAACAATTCAACATACAGGGTTGTGCAAGCTACATTAATAGAAATTATTCCCCGAATTCTATCCCGAGTTCACCCTATTTCAAATAACTTCTTGTATTCCTATTTTCCCAACTTAATTAATTACAAGATAAATGAGCGAGGAGTTCGATGTAATGCAAATGATATGGGATAATCAAAAACACCGAAAAACCCAAAACAACATTTAATTTTTTATTTAATACAAATATGTTCCACTTTTAAAAATTCTCTGCAAAGTTCAGTTATTGATCTTCGTACATTTATAACAAGATTCAAACTTGATGGCGGCTCATGATTAGCCCACAGCGAGAGGGTGAAGCGCGCAAGGATGTGCCCCTCCGCTACTCACGTCCCTCCGACATCCGCGCAGCGTCGCGTGCAAAATTACGAGCCGCCATAAAGTTTGGATAGCACTATAGTATCAATTTTAACTTTCGTTTTATAAATCCGTTGTAAGCAGCGGTCGAAATGAATGTGTGCATCCGGATGTCATGATGACGTCATTAACACTATGGTCTAACAGTTTAGTTGATATATACCCATATCGTGTGTGATGTTAGTTATGCATTGGATGAAAATGGAATCACTAGATGTTAGGTGACCAATGCATAATTGAATAATCCATGAAACAATGTTGCGTTCGGTTGTGCGTTGTAGTCTTAGATTGTTCGCAGAGAGAGGAGGCATATAAATAAAAGGGAAGTACAGAATGTGGGAACTAACGAAAAAAACACTATGAAATAGATAATATATAAGGAAAAATTATGTAAAGAGATGTGAAGATCGGAGCTTGAATAAATATTACTATTTAAGGATGAAAACACATACACAAGGCCGCAATTATTGCAAATAAGTCAGTCGTAGGGTGTTGGTCAGTTTTAAGTCACATCTTAGTTCTCTTGTAAGTCATTCTAGAGTAGGTAAACCAGGAGTGGTACGTCAATTAATTTCTTCAGTACAAATATAATAAAAATTTACTTATAAATAGATTTCTAAGAATATACTATGAATACCTATATTAATATACTACTATGTGATTAAAGAAACTAAGTGATAGATAAATGTATGTTAATTATTTATGTAATAAATAAATCAAATATTTTACCAATTATAAGAAACGGAGAATATAGACGCCACAAAAATA